AAAAAAAAAAAAAAAAAAAAAAACCTAGACTCTATAAATTATTCTTCTAATCAATCATAGCAACATCCAACATTTATTTTTTGAGGTAACTTTATATTTGGTATATTTATTTTTTTGGAGAGCTACTACCCACAGTCGGTATTCATCTGGTATTTTATTCTTCTAGACTGACTTCCAGATGTAGAAAGACTTCTACAATTTTAGACTCTCTTTCATGCCACATCATGAGAAGTAGAAATTAAAAAACCACCGTTGAAGAAGATTTTATGTCCCAAAGATTTGTCCCAAAGCTTCTATAATTTTGCTATTAACATACCACTGGAGATGCTCTAATAAGCTACTTAACCAAACATTAATGTTAGCTGTTTTATTTGGTCAAAACAGTTAACTTAGTTTTTTTGCCCAAACCGTTAAAACCAAACATAGCCATAATCTCGTCGTGATAGTGTATTTGATTTTGATTTTCAAAATAAAATAAAAAAAGCTCGTATCATTATTATAAAAATTTAAATATAAAAATTAAATTACAATGGTGAGGTTTAATTTTTTTTTTTTTTTTTTACTGAAACGAAGAATATATTGGAAAACTCGAAAATATTACAATGTCCGAGGGCATACAGAATAATACCTTGCTTGCAAGAAACTTGCAGATACAAGTGAAAAGGGAAACAAATATCCCAATGAAAAACTACAACATCAACCAGACACCAAAAACAACATCTACCACTAAAGCAAAAGCTACAGAAAACCCCAAATGAACAGAAATATTTACTAGGCAGAGCTGCAAAAGGAAGCTGGAGCAAAAGAGAGCCTGGCTAAGCCCCACAAAACAACTTGGTACCAGCTGAAAACCTGCACTGCTACCCCATTGGATAGCCTACAGAGCTAATCTCAAGCATAGGAAAAGAAAGGATAACAAAACAAACTCCAGGCCAACAAAAAACCAGCACCAACCACAAAAATAAAACACTAGCTAAATATGCAAGAACCTCGAGTCATCAAACTCTAACCACTCTCCCTTAGCACCACAAACAATCTCAAGCTCAGTACGCTTCACTCGTTGGAACACCCAAGAATTCCTCGTCTTCCATAGCCACCATAAAATATAGGTGGATAGATTAATGCGATCTATGGTACATGCAGCCGAGGTGATCTTGCACACGTCCATCCACCATTGCTTGAAAGAGATATCTGGCTTATGCATACCTATCCATTCCAACCCCGCAATTTTCCATACCTTCACAGCCCTAGGACACAGAAAAAATATATGCTCAAGGCTCTCCACATCTTCCCAGCATATGCTACAAAGTGGATCCACAGAGATCTTCTTAGCCTGTAACTGCACACCAGTGCTAAGATAATTAAACCAACATTTCCAGATAAAGTTTTTTAGCTTTGGTTTTACTTTTAGTCCCCAGGTTCTTTTCCACATCTTGGCTAGTTGAGAAGCAGAGTTACTAGATTCAGGCACACATGTCAGATTCTGAAGTTGCTCCATTCTCGCTTTGTAAGCTGAATTTACTGTGAATCTACCATTTTTGGAAAACTTCCATAGCCATCTGTCCTCCTGATTTGCTCTGTTAATAGGGGTATTAAGGATGAGACTTGCTTCATAAGGCAGGAAAGATTGTAGAACAAGCTCAGAATTCCATGCTGATCCATCTGAGTTTAAGAGTTCTTCCACTTTCTTCATCTCTTGGTAGATAGAAGAGTTCAGAGGTGAAGGGTGAAGAAGAGGAAGCCCAACAACCCAAGGATCTCCCCATAAGGATGTGTTCTTGCCATCTCCAATCTGCGAGTAAAACCCAGCTTTCATTTGGTCTCTAACTTTCAACCATAAACTCCACAACCAGGAATCAGAAGCTTTGTGCTCTGCTTCAAATAAAGATGCGTGTGGGAAATATTTTCCTTTGAGCACTTTGTACATAAGGAGATCAGTATTTGTGAGAAGCCTCCAAATCTGCTTTGACAGAAAGGCATCATTAAAAGCCTCCAAACACTTGAACCCCAAACCACCACACTCTTTTGGCAAGGTTAGCTTTTGCCAGGAGCACCAATGGATTTTACCTTTCCCTTCTTCAGTCACACCCCACCAAAAGGTAGCCACTTTCCTGCAAATTTCTTGACAAAGAGGTTTAGGTAATTTAAAACATGACATGACAAATGAGGGCAGAGCTCCAATCACTGATTTTATAATGGTTTCTTTTCCAGCATCACTAAGAAACACATTTTTCCAACTACTTAACCTCTGGGAGACTCTCTCAAGAACAAAAGAGATTTTTTTTTTTTTTTTTTTTGATTTTCCCAACCCTAGAGGCAAACCTAAATACCTAGAAGACTTAACAACCGAGATACCACACAAAATAGAGCAAACCTCATCAATGGTTTCAACAGAGGAATTTTTAGAGAAGTAGACTGAAGATTTCTGAAGATTAACAAGCTGACCAGAGGAATGGCCATAAGATTCCAAAATATTTACAATAAACTGAGCATGAAAGTAGTCTGCTTTGCAAAAAATGATTGAGTCGTCTGCAAAAAATAAGTGGGACACAGGAGGGGAGAAATTACTAATTTTAATGCCCTGAAAATTACAAAAAGAAGAGGCCTGGTGAAAAAGGTTAGATAATGATTCAGAAATGATAATGAAAAGATAAGGGGAGAGCGGATCCCCTTGTCTAAGACCTCTGGATGGCTTAAGGAATCCAGAGGGATAACCATTTATGTTAAAAGAAAAAGAATAAGAACATATGCAAGAAAGCAACCAAGAGACAAAAGATTCACAAAATCCCATTTTTTTTACAAATAGCGGCAAGAAAAGGTCATTCGACCCTATCAAAAGCTTTAGCCATATCTAACTTGAGGGCCATGAAAGAAGATTTGCCAGCTCTCTTACTATTTAGGAAGTGAAGACATTCATTCACAATAACAATTCAGAGGTCTTAGACAAGGGGATCGCTCTCCCCTTATCTTTTCATTATCATTTCTGAATCATTATCTAACCTTTTTCACCAGGCCTCTTCTTTTTGTAATTTTCAGGGTATTAAAATTAATAAATTCTCCCCTCCTGTGTCCCACTTATTTTTTGCAGACGACTCAATCATTTTTTGCAAAACAGACTACTTTCATGCTCAGTTTATTGTAAATATTTTGGAATCTTATGGCCATTCCTCTGGTCAACTTGTTAATCTTCAGAAATCTTCAGTCTACTTCTCTAAAAATTCCTCTGTTGAAATTAATATGAAAAAAATTAGCCCAAACAAATGTATCAAAAAATATTTTCTTCCCAATTCCCAAAGTTTCATGGAGGGGCAAAATTGTCAGATCACATCCACACTATATGCAGTTGTTGTACTTGTACGTCGGTTTCACCACGAGGGTGGCTGTGACGTAAATACCAGTGAACTCCAGGCCCCATTGGTCATTTTATCACACCCACTGACTAACAGGCGCACGCCGTGCCTGTAACCCAAATTTAAATACAACTCATGAGCCCATTTCAGATCCGCGGATACAGTTTTTCTTCACTCCCAGGAAAATAGGGATATTTTCAAAGACTAGTTCTTCAAAGGCTGCTGTGTTGTGCTGAACTTCAAATCTTGCTTTATTTTTCTCATCGCTTCTGTGAGAAAAGATTCAGTCCTGCGTACGTTGATAGTTCGATTAATCACATACGAGGTGGAGAGGAAAAGATTGGAGTGAGATCTGTCGGAGAGATCAGGTCTGTGCTGTTGAAATTCACTTTTTTATGTCCGATTTGTGCTTTTTTTACTTTTCTGTTGTCTGTTCTGTGTGTGAAATGCGTTTTTGGTTTCATTTTGGTGACTCTTTCGTTTTCATTTCTGTGTAAATGTGTGTAGATCTGAAGAAACTGAGGTGTTACGGTTCATTTCCGCGTGCTATCGTAGCTACGTGTATGGTCGATGTTCGGGTCGGGTTTAGTAAAGTAGAGGTTGATCTGCTGAGGTCTTGGTGGTTGTGGAGGAGATCTAAAAAGTTTTCTGGTTGGTGTGAAGTTTGGTAGAGCTGTTAAAGGTGTTAAATTTGTTTGATCTTCGTATTTGGCTTAGCTGTGGTAGTTGTAGTTAAGATCGACTGAGTAGGATAGAATTGTGAAAAAAAAAAAGACTGAGTTGGGTTAAGATCAGCCGAGTAGGATAGAATTGTGAAAAAGACTGATTTTGGTTTTTTTTTTCCCGTGTAAGTTGATTGAGATGGACACTCTAGTCATTGGTCATCGTAGGAATCACAATCAGTGTTACGGTAGAAATCGCGGTGGTTATGGTTCGACGAAATTCGGGCCTTTTGGCTCTCCTCCCTTGGGCAATTTCCGGGGTATTAATTGTCGAACTTTTCAGTCAGAGGAAGGTTTACTTCCAACCCCATCAAAAGCCCGCACCACGAAAACACCTGTTACTGAAAAGGCATTTCCCACCTCGTTTTCGCCCGGTACCCCATCCCCATATCAGTATGGAAGCCATAAACCCTCGAAAGGAATTGTGAAAAGTAGAACGGTTGATATTCCAATTAAGTTCAAGCTCGAGAGCAGTGAAGGGGAGTATGTTTTTTCAGAGCGTTGGGCTGGCCCTGCCTATTCGAACTCGCCTCCCCCGAGTTCTCTGCCCATCCCCAAATTTTCACTGAGGCCCAAAAGAACTGTATCACTCGACCTTCCAAAGGCAGCTTCAGAGGTTAATTTCCACCCCATTGCCAAGTCAGCTCCTGCTTCCCCAACAAGGGAACGCAGCCCCTCTCCGAGTGGTCCTTTTGGTTTTTCGGATTCCGGGACTGAGACGAGCCTTTCCCTCTGTGATATATTTGACCTTTCTGATTCTGGTACTGAGATGAGTCCTTCGCCATGTGATCCTGTTGACATTTCTGTTTCTGCTACCTTGACTCTCCGTCGCATTCTTAATCTTGATGATACTGATAATTGAAGAAGTGTGTGGTGTGTTTGGTGCCTGGTGGATAAGGAAGTTAGCGTACTTTTGTTGCTTTAGTTGTATTTTGTATATAAAATCAAAAGGATCGGCGAGTGGGATTACTTGTCATCAAAAGTTGGTTTTAGAATTCTCAAGTTGTGTAGCATGGTGTGGTGCATGAGTTGTGATGTCTAGTTGGCTGGCAGTCTGAAATCTGGAAATCTTTTTGCGGAGGATTATGAAATGTTTGTGGTTGCGCTCAGTAATGGATTTTGCTAAAAGTTTTGAACAGGCAGGGGGTTAATCAGTGGATCGTGTAGTTGATTGACAAGATCTTGGATCTATCTGTGATGGCTAGCTTGTGGACAGTAGTTGCTGATGAAACTTGAAAGTAGCAATTCTGTTCTTCAAAATGTATTTTCTTCAGGGCTTCGTTTTCCTTTGGTTCCTTTTTTATACTTGTATATGCTGTAGAAACCTAACTTGGTTAGAACCAGTAGCATTTCATTTTCGTTCTTCCTGGTCGAGCTCATCCCTGGTATTCAGATTAGTCTATCTTGACTAACTGTAATGCCTTCCTATGTTCATGGTCCCTTGAATTTGTCATCCGCAATCATCCTTTTATATCCTTATTTCTTTTTCTATTTCTTTTTTTCAACTCTGGGAAATATTTTCTGACTATATCTTTGGTATCCCCTTCGCCACATTTTCTGGTTTTTGATAAAGAAGATGGGCAGGGTATAGGGATAGATGAAAATTTTTCTTTTCACCTTCTTTTAATGCTTAGCTTTGGTAATTGTCTATGTTGGTAGTGGGTTAGATAATCCTTCTGCATGTTCTTAACCGTGATTCATTCTGAGCTTATCTTCCGGTCAGTTTGCTTTCTATTACCCAGCCCCCCTTTTTCTTTTTCCGTCGTTATTGAGTTCCGTTTCGTATTTGGAGATTGTTGATCATGCCAACCTGTCACAGGTAATCAGTCTTGTACTCTGCATTTATTTATTTATTTTTCTATTACTACTCTATTTATATAAGGCACTCATAAACTATTGTCCTTTTCTTGTTTTTACAGCATTTGTAATGATAGCCGAAGGGAGTTCATCTTCAAGAGGCTGTTTCAGTACCATGTTACCTTTTTTAAGTTTGTGGTTTTCGGTTTTTAGATTTCTGGTTTGTGTTTTCTCTGCTACGAGACTTTATGCATAGATTTTCTTTCGAGTCTTTGTTATTAAAAGTTGGAAACTATTGCGAGTGGTTCTGGTATGTAATAATCTGACCCTTTGGGCAAAGTCTCTAGTTTCTATGTTATGGTTGCTTTGTTTTTTGTCATCTTTTTGTTTCACTCATTTAGTTTAATATGTTGAGATGTGAATTCAGCTGGTGAAAATACATGCTTGGTTTTTAAGTAGGTTTTGCTTCAACAGTTCAATCTTCATCACAAGGTAGTCGATTTTCTGTAGATTTTTCATGCAATAGAAAACCCAACATATAATGGTGGATAAATTCATTTTAGTCTTCTAAATTTGGTATAGTTTGTGGCTGTTTTTCATAAATATTTCAACTATATGAAGATCTATACCAAGGGCCGCCGGCAGGACCCGGCCCGGTCAAACTCGTTGATCATGAGTCCAGGACCGGACCGGATTTCAGACAGGCCGTTTTAGGGTCATCAATTTCATGGCGTTTTAGGGTCATCAATTTCATGGCCCGGCGTGGGTTTTGGCAATTGAAATGCCAAAGCATTAGCAATTGAAATGCCAAAATAAGACACATATGTAATAAAAAGCTGGACAATATTATGACAATAATACTAAGGAGCCAATTGTTGGCTCTGTTATGGAGCCAACACAGCCAATGAGACAGCTCCATGTGGGACTGTCCCACATGGCTCCAATGTGGGACAGTCCCACATGAAACTGTCCCATCGGCTGTTGGCTCCACGGAGCCAACAGTTGGTTCCTTAGCAGTAAATTATGATACATCAAATATTTATAATAATTTCTGCCTCCCATTATCCTTGTATATATGCAAAGGGAGGAAAAGCCCTCCAACATGAGCATAAAACAGATCCAAGAAACAGGAAAAAATAAGAAAAAACAGATTAAATATTTCACATTGATTAAAAAAAAAAAAGAAGAAGAAGAAAAAAGTTCCTTATTAATCATATCCAGGGCAGTTTGAGCTTTTGATCCCTTCAAGTGAAATCATTAGAATAAAAGATGCTGAATTCCTCTGAGATATTGAGTTTAATTTTTTAACAAGCACCCGTGTAATGCACGGGTGTTGTAATAGTTGAGTTTAATACAAAAAAACAGCTCTAAACAATCATCTTTCATCCAAGTCTTGATACTTCATCCCATCAGAAAACATCTCTTCACACCTGCATTCATGGCTGCAAAAGGCTTTTTCACCCCTGAAAAAATAAAATAAAAAAATAAAAAATAAAAATCAAATAAATAGATAAATAAATCTCAAGACTTTGATATGGGGCAAAATCAAGAGGAAATTAGCAAATGGGCACTGGATTAATTATATATTTAAATTAAATTAACTAGGTTGGATCAGTCCTCAATTATTGAAGTCCACCAAAATAAACACTAAACAATCAATGAGGTGAGACACAAGATAAATTAAAACCACTACAATAAAGCTACACATTATGTGAGGCCAATCATTTGAGTTTTAATAATTCATCTATAAACCATAAAATATGCACCTAGTAAAGAATTTAATCTTTTTT